ATGCCTGACCTCAGAGCAGTGACAAGTTACGGTAATTTGCACCCAAGGTCTGTATTACACGGTCAAATTCTGACAGAGACCTACAGGATTTTGTATGAAAGACCACTTGAGGCTTGGTGCAAACCTAATTCTGCCAAGCCTGTACAAGCCTCTGACCGCCACCCCCTCCTCCTGACCCAATCAGAAGCTGGGGAGGTGCATTCCCCAACTCGCAGCTATACATCACAAAGCGGCAGGGAATGCCCCCCACTGCAGCTGCTGACACTGACTTGGTTGGGAGGAGGTGCTGGCGATCAGCTATGAGCAGGCTTCGATGAACTCCAAGGAACCGGGTTCACGCCAAGCCCAGCCTCATCTCTACCCACACTTTAGTTGCCTGGACCGTGTGCACAAGTTATAATTTAACATTTCCCACGTAGCCATTGATACTCTTTAGAACAATGGTTCTCAAACGGTGTTACCTCAGGACCCACATTTGTCCTCTGTCATTAAGTTGCACTGCAACGGAACGCAGGACAGCATGGGCTGCTGTGATGGAGTTCCATCCATATGTGCATCGCTTGTGCAGCTCACATGTGCGCCTGTAGAGGTGCCTGGAGCCAGAATGTGACATCAGTCCGGTCCGGGCACCTCTACAGGACATGCGAGGGAGCTATAAGCAATGTACGTATGGAGGGAGCTCCTTCGCGGCCATACCACCATCCAATCCCACCTCAAGTCACTCTGCGTGGGGCAGCATATTTTGAATGGCTGTTCGGTGTAAGAATGGACAGTGCTGCACTAGGGGGAGGCAGAGGAGCCCCTCACCTAGAAAAGTGGAAGGCATGCAGCGACCCACTGAACACGGGGACACTTTTGGGTCACGACCCACGAGTTGAGAACCAAGGCTTTAGAACAGGGGTGCCCACTAGGTAGATGGTGATCTACCAGTAGCTCTCAAAGCTGATGCTGGTAGATCAGGAAGGGTGTTAATGGCGGCCCCTTTATTCCATTTTGGTATATTTATTTAGCTGTGCACACATGAATACATATTAGCCTGAGTCTGCTGAGCCAAGCTCCCTGATACCTTTCTGGTGGATACTGGTGGTTGACATGCTATGCATTACATCAAAGAATATTAGTTTACACAGCCTGTTGCAAAATACAGCAAGGTGAGCCAGGAGAGAGAGCAGGGAGAGACAGTCAGGAGAGAAAAGAGAGACAGCCAGGAAAGACAGCCAGGAGAGAGAAGGTTTTTTTCGTTGGTAGATCTCATGTAGCTTGTCATTTGAAAAGTAGATCTTAAAAGGAGAACTATAGGGTCAGTGTTTATCCCCATAGTTCTCCTTAGGGTAACAGGAGGACACAAACTAGCGCCCTCCCGTTACCCTAAGCTCAGTATACCGCAAGCTACGGCTCGCGGTATACTGAGACGCCACAGCGGATCCCGACATCGATGTCGAGATCCGCCCAGCTGTGTGAGTGACAGCTGGCTCTGCCTATCTAGAGGCAGAGCCAGGTGTACCTGCCCCTCCCCTGTCCGTTCCGCCAGTCAGCGCTGGCAGATCGGAGCGGGGAGGGGGGAATCCAGCCCCTCCCCTGTCACGGCAGAGAGGTGAGCGAACGCCGGTATGTGTTCGCTCACCTCCCGATCTACTGAGCCGACCTGTGACAGTCGCATTGTTACAGGTCGGCTAGAACTATGAGGTGAGTGAAAAGCACTCACCTCATAGTTCTCCTTTAACACAAAAAATTGTGGGCACCCCTGCTTTAGAACATTGTAACCAACCAAATCTCAATCAGGAAAAGAAGACAATGTCCCCAGTTGAGTTGCCTTATTCTGGATTCGCAGAAGACTCAGGTGAATGGTCCGTCATCTGGGCGCACAATCCCAATACTTTCTGGATCATCAGTGTACCGGCCGATCCGAAGTGGTTGCTCACGTTTCTAGGCCCATCGTGACAAACAACTGAGAGCACGTCATCTACTTTCAGACATCGTTTCAACGCAGTGAAATCCATTAACAAGATCTGTAGTGCCTCAACGTTACACAATTCTGGTTAATGCGACGGTTTAATCTTGCGGTAACGCAGACGCGGGATAGTGGCGACGTTCACTTGCACTTTGTAATTAAACCAACCAGAACAAAAACTGATGTCAAGGTTACGGAGAGTGGGCGTAAAGTAACTAGCGAGAAGTGTAAAACGGCGGGCGTGGGCGCAGTATGGATGACACATAGTAATTTGCAACCTGTGCTTTTATTCAGGCTGCACAGCTCCCTCATTGGCAGTGACAGATTGGGGTTATTCGGGATTTTAAATAGACGCTGACCTGAAATAACATTCGATGTTCAGGAGCGTCTCCCTCTGCCGCACAAGTTTCTCACTTGGCAAGACTGCATGCGGGCAAAACTTCTATACGCATGACATGCGAAGGTTGGGAACTCTGCGGCGAGTGTAGACAATGTTATCCAATGGGGGATAAGCGGGAAGCTGCAATTCACAGGTTTGGACAGATTCCACTCAACACTTCATTATTAATTCAAATCGATATAAAGTCAAAAAGTTTTTTAGCTATTTCAAAGGCTGATGAGATCACTTACAATGGATGCCGCTTCCTGGTGTTTAAAAAATGTTTCACTTCCTGCAGAATCAGCTGGTCTCCTGAACACCAGTCCTGATATCCTGTTTTAGGGTGACTCCTTTCCCTTGGAGGGTGCTGTGGGGCCACCTTTGTGTGTGCTAGTGAGCTGCAAGAGTCTCCACAAACACACAGGCGCAGCAAGGCAAGCCAACAATCTGCTCCCTTCCCCCGAGCTAATAGATGATCAGCTGCTGCAGTCTGCTCTGTCCCTTGTGATCTTGTACTGGACAGGAAGTTCAGGGAAGCCGAGCTAAAAGTTAAATCTTGAAAATACAAATGGGGGGGAATTTATCACTGCAACCAAACAGCTTCTCCGACTCATTTTCAAATCTTACCTGAGCAAACTGAAGGTATAAAATGATTGGTTACTATGGGCAACTGCTCCAGATTTGACAACACTTGGGCAAAATTAAAAGAAATTTGAGAAAAAAATGTTGGAGCGTTTAATACTAATTTAAAGCATCCAAAGCCACAATTTTTTTTTTTGGGACAGAGCATGCAAAAACCACTGTTAGTTTTTTTTTCCCTCATCTGTGTCCCATTGGAAAGCTTTTTGTTCACTTCCTGTATTGGAGGCACAACAGGAAATCAGTGGAAAATCTCCCTAAAATGAAGTTAAAAAACAGTTACTGGAATGGGTGTCTCCACTGGAAGATTTTCCCCTCGATCCCTGTTTTAGCGGGAACCATAAAATTATGGATTCTCCATCACGGTTTGTCTAGGTGACAACAGCCAACAAAACCAATTTTAAGAATGAATCAAAGCAGGGGCACAGATGCCAATACATTCCTAATGTCTGCCTAGTATCCAAAACTTATTAAAAGTATTTGTTAGAGACATTTTAAAGTAGAAATGCTGCCAGACTGTGGAGTAATATTTACATTATCCTTCCTTTAATGTAAAGCCTCACTGACCTATCAAGCTGCAGGCACTGTGGCGTTATTCATCCTGAAAGTGTATTTCCACTTCCGCAGCCATATTGGGAGAACACCTATTTTATATGTGTTACCTGCTCCCAATTTACATTGTATAAGCTAATAAAAAAAATAATTAAAAATGCTTTGTGCAGTTTAGATTGATTTTACTGGGGTTAGGGTTTCTTGGCTCAAGGGTTAAAATTTCAACTTGTTTTTCCTCCTTTGTAACGTTAGGAGGGGCTCTGATGGGTTAACGCAGGGATGGCCAAACTCCGGCCCTTCAGCTGTGGTGAAACAAATCCCATGAAGCATCTCTCTCCGAGAGTCATGTCTGTGGCTGTGAGAATCTTGCAAAGCCTCATGGGATTTGTAGTGCCACCACAGCTGGAGGGCCACAGTTTGGCCATCCCTGGGTTAAAAGGATTACAAACCTGGCTTATGCATTCAAATGTTAAGTTAATGAGAGAAACAATGCTAAAAATGTCAGTCCCAAGTCTTTCTATAAGGACAGATCACTGTGAAGGTGCAGAGAAAAAACAGGAATCTGCCATGTTGACTGCGGCAACAAAACATTTAAACGGTAATATATTTTAAGAAATTATTTTTGGGTATCTTGTGTGAATAGGAACATACAGACAGAGAGGTTTTCTCAAATTTAACTGCAAAGGTGCAAATGTGCTACAGTTGGAACGCTTCTACTCAACAGGTCACCTCCCCCCTGCTCCCCTTCTTCCAGAGGTAACTGGGCAGCCTTTTAATATGTAGCGCTAACACCGAGAAGGTGCAGGGGAAGAGGGGAACCTGGAACTTTGGAACACACAGTAGATCATCTGGGAGCCAGCGGCAATTTGGAGGTGGGGGGGACAAAGAAAGCTAGTGGGGCTTTTGTTACCTCTACAAATAGCCTTCAGTACTACTTTAAAAATAGTCCAATACTAAACAAGGCGTAAAAGTTCAAAAGCATGATAAATGCATTACGATTTGCATAAAATACACATATTTGGTATGCTGATACGCCCGAGAATTCGACATACCATGAGTCATTTCCTCAGTTCAACAACAAGAGGAAAGAGGGGGGGAATTATTTTTCTGCCAAATTTCAATTGTGTTCTGTGACCAAGATTAAAATACTGACTTCTAAATTCTACGGAAAGAAAAAAAAGCGACGTCATTTATTTTGATACATAACGATGTTTTGATAAAATATGGAAGCTAGATGTGATGGCATTCCTCCAACAAAATCCATCTACAAAATGGGGACTTCAAATTTCAGCACTGGAAACCGTACACACCAGATCATAAAAAGCTGCAAGTTTATTGATATTATTGCTAAATATCGGGACAGCCACCCACACTCACAAATAGGATATTTTGGAAGACCTAATGCACTGTGTAATGCGAAGAGCCAAAAGCAAAAAAGAAAAGAAAAGAAAAACTTTACGATAGGAAGGAGTCCAGTACCTCTTTGAGCTGATCCGCACTACCCCAAGAGGCAGACCGCTGATGGCCGACTTTCTTCTCCGTACCCTCCTCTCCCCAGCAGCTTGGTGTCTATGGGAAGAGACAAAGTACAAAGTTACTGTGTGATTGCTCTCGTTGTTCCCCCTTCAGCATCTGTAAGGGGGGGGAAGCAAAGCTCAGACATATACAGCTCCAGCCCTAAGAAACAAGAAAATTAAGCCTACACCAGATCAGGAGAATCCTTCCTGCGTACACACAAGTAGACCGATTTTTGCATTTGGGCCTATAAGAACCTACTACCCCCAGCAATTTGCACCTTGATATTGCATCTACCCATCACACAGACTCCCTACCACTGAACCCCCCGATCCCCTAAACAACTTCCCTGCCTCCCAGCACCCTACCACTGCACTCCCCTGAACCAAACCCTGAACCTCCCCCTTGCCTCCCAGCACCCTACCACTGCACTCCCCTGAACCAGACCGTGAACCTCCTCCTTGCCTCCCAGCACCCTACCACTGCACTCCCCTGAACCAGGCTATGAACCTCCTCCTTGCCTCCCAGCACCCTACCACTGCACTCCCCTGAACCAGGCTATGAACCTCCTCCTTGCCCCCCAGCACCCTACCACTGCACTCCCCTGAACCAGGCTATGAACCTCCTCCTTGCCTCCCAGCACCCTACCACTGCACTCCCCTGAACCAGACCGTGAACCTCCTCCTTGCCTCCCAGCACCCTACCACGGCACTCCCCTGAGCCAGACTATGAACCTCCTCCTTGCCTCCCAGCACCCTACCACGGCACTCCCCTGAACCAGACCGTGAACCTCCTCCTTGCCTCCCAGCACCCTACCACTGCACTCCCCTGAGCCAGACCCTGAACCTCCTCCTTGCCTCCCAGCACCCTACCACTGCACTCCCCTGAACCAGACCCTGAACCTCCTCCTTGCCTCCCCCCCCCTCAGCCGGATATTATAAACCTGCCCATCTCCTCCATTATTATGGATCGCTTGCAATGCGGCAGCAATCATGTAGAAGTCCAACATGTAAATGTATTATTTATTTTACTTCCAAGGTAAGCGTTTTAACACACACACACACACACACACAATTTTACAATGAGAATAGAATGTACCTGTTCTCAAGGAGCTTACAATCTAAGGTCCCCATCTCACATACATACAGGACCAACTTAGAGAGGAGCCAATGAACCTTCCAGCATGTCTTTGGAGTGTGGGAGGAAACTGGAGCACCCTGATGTAACGCACGCAAGCACAGGGAGAACATGCAAACTCTGAGAGTGTCCTGACCAGGATTAGAAACGGGAACTCGGTGCTGCAAGGCAGAAATGCTGACCACTACACTACTGTGTTATATTTAAAGGTTAGTCCACCCAAAAGTGGTTTAAGTTGCGTATGGGGACTATTTGCCCAATTATTTCTTAATCTGTGAGTGTTTCTACATAATTTAAAGAACAGTACCATGGGTGTGAATGGATGCACGGAAGTGTGAAAAGAAAAGTAGAATGAAATACATATTTCCCTACTCCCCATGTTATCACTTTCATAGATAAAAGTCTGTAATACAAATAGATGATGTCAGTGACCACCTAGCATTCCTGCTGCACTGAAATCCCAAGCAGTGATGTAGTTCACCCTGTTGGACTACAGAACATTTGCCCTTTTTCTGTAGTTCAGCAGTGGAGCTTTCAGGTCGGGCCAATAACACTACTTGATATTTCAGTGCAGCATTATGGACCCGGAGGTTAGGAACTCGGATTTCTGGCACGACTTGTACGTAAAAAAAAAAGAATATATGGGCAGATTTGCACATATTACAAAGCCCTGCTATATATTATGTTTTTCTGAAATACTGACCCTCTGAAATAAAAACCCTTTGGTCAAATAAGGATATTTATTAATCTGTGGCTGTCTATAACCGAGTCCTACAATGCAGCAGAATCACTGGGCCCGACAGAAGCCGCGTGTCTCAGTACATTAAACATGCAGAAGGTGAGAGCGGGCTCACCGAGGAGGTGTACGGAGCGGCAGAGACACTCGCTGATATTCTATTACCAATTCTCAGCCTGCGTGAAATATTAAACAAGTCTCTCAAGTCACTAAACATTAGCAGCCAATTTTACAAAGCCCACGTGTGCCGCAGCATGACCAGATAAAACACGGCTGGGTGAAATCCTTCACATGACACAATTAGAAAGCAACTCTATAGCCAGATATGTTACCGAAGTTTATCCCAAAAGCAACCGGGTCCAGGTAACCAAACAGGAAGTTTTTATTTATATTATATAAAATATATTTAGATTTTCTACATTTTGGATAGCCAGTAGTAATTGGTCACATTGATCTGGACTTGTTCTGTAATGCTGAAGATGTTTTGTATCTCCTCCAAGCCACATTTTCATTTCTAATGAGCGTCAGGAACATTCCTCGGCATTTATAGCCACACAGGGAGCACAGCCACCCTAACCCAGGGGCAGGCAAACCCCCGGCTCTCCAGCTGTGGTCATACTACAATTCCCATCATGCGTTTGCCTCTGGATGTCATGTCTGTGGCTGCTAGAGTCTTGCAATGGGAATTGTAGTTGCACCACAACTGGAGGGACGGAGTTTGCCTTCCTCTGCATTAATCCACTACTTGGGGGAAGGAGGGTGGGATATGGGGTATAAAGCCCTTCATTCTATGTAGAACTATACAAGGGGGGGTTACTGTAATAGAAGATTCAGGAGTCTGCTTCATTGACAACAGCTAAAGAAAACCTAAAAAGTTGGGCGCCAGCTGTAAATTTTAGGGAGCACTGGCTACCTGACTCCTGGGATTTGTCCAGCCCTGAACTATACTATAGTGGATCTGAAACCCTTCAGGCCCCCAGGGGGCATACACCTTGCGAAAACTTGATTTTTTCAGTCCTAATGACATGGTAGAAGTGGTGATTTTATTAAACTTTGTTTTTATTATTTTTAAATGTATTTTTATTATTATTACTATCATGATTATCAGAAACTGTATTCATCTCAAAGCGGTGGTTAAGCCCCCTCTGCGATAGCATAGTGCAGGTGGCCGGTTCGCCAAGACGTTAGGAGTCTATTATAGAGGCGCACCGAAATAGAAATTTAAAAAACAGAAAAAATTGTCAGGCCGAAACCGAAAATGTTTTTAATTATTTTTTTATTTATTTTTTATAAACTTTTACATTTTTGTTATATCTTTTATTTATTCATTTTTTAGTAAATATTTTTATTTTTTACTTTACTTTTAGGGCCTTAGGGGGTCTAAACAGACACCTGATATTTCCCTTTTAAAATAGAAAAAGAGATTGAGAACACAAAGTCCTCAATCTCTTTTTCTGCAGCCCCTGTTATCAATGAACAGGAATCATCTATACTGAGTGTTCCTGTTAATTCATAACATGACAGAGTATGTTTACTATAACCACAATCATGAATGAACAGGAGGTGATGTAGATCACTTCCCATTCATTCATAATGGAGGATATAGTCACCATACTCTGTCCTCAATTATCTACAAACACTCAGCGATCACTGATCACATGACTGCTTGTACTCCGCTCTCCTCTCTGACACGCTGTTACAGGAGGCTGAGTGAGCGGTGTGAGGAGGAGAGCTCAGCCTCCTGTGACAGACCGGGCTGTCTCCGCCCACACACCGCTCTGCCGGACTGTGACAGGAGACTGAGCGGTGTGGGAGGAGAGACACCGGCCGCTCACAGCGCTCTTGTCCCGCAGCGCTCGGCTGTCACTTTCTCTCCTCCACGCCGGGACACACAGCAGCGCCCAGCGGGGAGGAAAGAAATCACGGATGCGCCGATCGGCAGGAAAATTGCACTTTCGGCATTTAGCCAAAAGTGCAATTTTTGGCCGATATGTTTTGGTTCTTCTCCCCGCGTCCCTGTGCCGATCGTGGATTTGGACGGGCGGTGAGCGTGAGGCGTGGAGGAGGTGCGGGAGCGTGGATTCGGGCAGGTCTGGCAGCGGCGAGCGTGAGGTGGGGAGGAGGTGTGGCGCGCAGCGTGTGTTGAGCCGTGAACAGGGCCAACCAATCAGAAGCCGATTAATCGATTATTGAAAAAGTTGACAACTTTTTCAATAATCGATTATAATCGATTATGTCGATTAGTTGTTGCAGCCCTAGTTACAATCACAAGACAAGATGGTAAGGTGGGCCCTGACCCTGAGGGCTTACAATCTAAAAAGGGAGGGATCCCTTTATTAGATCCCTAACGTTACCTCTGAAGCTAATGGAGCACTGATTGTGCCATGCCATCTTCTTCCTCGGCCATGGAGGGCAGGGAAATTACATCTCTAAACCTGGAAGTGATCAGATCTCACCACTTCCAGGTTCAGTCGGGAGGGGGGAAAAAAGTTAAAATCAGCAAATGGAAGTCCAAGCTAGCAAGGAGCTAACAGCCAGCCCAGGAACATGGTTTGGGGAATAAGGGTGGCATGTACACATGAATGGGATCGGGTAGTTCTACATCTGCCAAATCACGTCCAGTAGAATGTCTAGTCGGCTGAGAACAGATACTGTATATTTACATATATAGACAAGCAAATTTCCAGATATGTATATTCCATCTGAAAGAGCTTGCATGCTACAGGGGTAGAGAAGCTTATTCAGAAGTATGAGGAAAGCCATTGCAAGGGGAGAATTTGATATTTAGGACCAATTGATCTTTAATGCAGAAAGCTTGTTATCAATAGAATGCAAAACAGTCAATAGGAAGGCCAAATAAAGAAAGGCATGGGCATCAAGGCCAATCTTTTCAGTATGAGCTTCAAATTACCAGCCTCTAATATTTTGATAGTCATAGATGTGAATCAAACAGGTTTGCAACACACACACTTCATAAATAATTTGCCCTATGCGGAGTACAATGCACCCAGCTCTGACCATCCGCACAAAACAGCCTGCGCAGGAACTCACAATATCTACTGCATGTTAATTAGATATGGCTACAAAGAGCAGATTGTATGATGGCTTCATGTATTATTGCATCAAAAGGCCATTTAAAATATGCAATACAACCCGATGCAAGTTCGAGTGATGCTGCATTCACAGACTACAAATGGGATGAACATCTAAAGCCGCTATTGTGTTCTGTGTCAGATAAACTCGGCAGTATTAGAGCTCTGGTACCGAAAAAAATATATTTATAGAGGAGCTATAGAAACAATTTCAGATCGACCTTATTATACCGAAATGTGAAGGATGACAAAGGCGTCTTACATTGGCAATGGAAGCCAAGAACCAAATAGTAATAGAAATAAAACTAATATAGCTCAGGAAACCTTGACATTGTGCCCGGGTTAGTCTCTATATATCTGCAGGGGTGTGGAAATAGATTCGGGGGCCGAATCTACTTGTCCTTCATGACAATGTACTTGTCCCAATACAAAAACAAAAGTTTTAACCAAAACTAGGGAAGCACCAATACCAGTTTTTGGGTATTGAGTAACGATATTTTGCTTTCAGTACTCGCCGATACCATGTACTGATACCGGTGCGTCCGTTGGCATGGAGCAGGCTTGCCGGGCAATCAGGAAGTCGGGCAGCTGGTAATGACATACCACCCAGCTTCCAGATTGCCAGGGAAGCCGACTCCATGTTTGGCCAGGTTGATTGGGATTGGCTGGGAAACCGCCTTTCCAGCCAATCAGCATTGAGCCAGAATCCCGGCCAATCAGGAAATCGGGCGATGAGTAATGACCTGATTGGCCGGAAAGCTGGCTCGATGCTGATTGGCTGGGAAGCCGGCTTCCCAGCCAAACAGGAAAACCGGGAGGCGGGTCATTAGTCACCACCCCGCTTCCTGACTGCACGGGAAGCTGGCTCCATGTTTCCCTACGGCACTGCCGGCCAGAGGAAAAAAAGTTTCACTTAATTTTATTCCTATCACATAGGGGCTGGTGCCTGGACGAGATCGCTGCTCGTTTTATACAAGTGATCAGGTCACTTGTATAAAAATGAGCAGCGGCTCCCACTGTACATTTAGCTCTGCTTGTCCGAAGCAGGGCTAAATGTACAACAAAAAAAAAGAAAAAACTACTCGCTCGGCGCCCGAAACTGCATGTCCTGGGCGATAGGAATTCCACACCCCTCATCTGGAAAGGAATGCCCCACTGTAAGGGTTGAGAACAGTTTTGCCCGGAGTTGTGGTTTAATGCCTCGAAGGCTCTAACCCTTTGTTAGGACAGAATGTTCAAATCTAGTTTACAACTGATGAGATCAGACGGGGTTCATTAGAAAAAATAACGTCACACAACCCCCTTCCTTAACATTACATAGGGGGAGACCTGGTAGGATTTTTAAGCAAGAATAAAGCAATTAGAAATGTGAGCAGCAATAATTTTTTCTAAGTTCTGCTATGTGAAAGGGAACAGAACATAAAGAGGATTTGGCTACAAAAGTGGAACTACACGTCTGCATTTCCATAGGAACAGCATAACAGCCAGGCAAATGGCATTATCAAGAGAGGACAGCCTGCCTACATATGCCATCAGTGCAGGATTTCTTTGAAAGGATTACCTGTGTGGACTTGTCATTCATACACGAAGGGTAGTGCGCATGAGGGTCCCGAGGCCAGTGCCCGCTCAGGTAGGTTCCAGTTATGGCGTCCAGGGAAGAAGTCCGTCGTATTGCGTTTGATGGTCTCAGGTGATGAGAGTTTGACCTGTCGGCTGCGGAATTAAAAAAGGGAAAGGTTAGTTTTAATATGGATGAAGACTACAGGTACCCCATCCTTAATACAACTTAACCCCTTCCAGATGGATTCGCACTTGTGCAGTTTATTCCATAATAAAGCCGTCTTGTTGCTGGATTAAAAAAGAAAAACCAGAAGAGGAATACTTACCTGACGGGCAGAGGGGTGTCACCTCCCAAACTCCACCTCACTACAGGACAAAGTAGTAACACGGGGTTCAGCAGGAGAAGCACGGTGCCCGTTGGGTGACATACATTCAGCACACCCAGAAGTGCCGATACCTCCACCCACCTCTACCCCTCTTTCCTATGGTGGGGAAGCCATGGTGAACTTGGCAAGAGTCTAATAAAGCTTGCAGTGCCTGCTATGTTACATGACCAGGTTGGTTTTGACTAGAGGTTGTCATTATTCGGCTTTTGGGCAGAGAGGGGAATAATTAGAACAAGGATAGGCAACCTCAGCATTGCAGCTTGTGTGGAACTACAAGTCCCATGAGGCATTGCAAGACAGCCACAGGCATGCCACTTGGATGATGGGATTTACAGCTGGATAGCCAAGGTTACCCACCCAGCTTTTTATGGCCGTCAAGGTAGCCAAAGTCAGCTTTTTATGGTCGCCTGTGTCCCTGTTGGGAAAGTATGCCCCCACGCTTCACATCAGAACAGGAAGTGATGAGAAATCTCCCCAACCAGGACACAGGGGAAAGCAAAGTAAAAATCAGGGAATGGTTTATAAACTTATGACAATTATGTTTTTATTGCTTCCAGTCCCTTTCACAACTGCACCCCTACCCATATGGGTGTCACATGGACAGGAAGCGACAGAAAATCTCCCCAACGGTGGGTAGCCACAGAAATAAAAACCTTTAAAGAAAAACAAACATCCGACGCCATTGCGTAACACCACTTCTTGTCGAACTTTATTATTCCAGGACAAGTCCCAGCAAGACATCCAGAGAAAAAAAAAACAGCAGCACACTAAGGCTTGTAAAACTTTATTAATCGAGAGCAAACGTCCAGAACCTCCCGCCTGCGACCACGGTCTCCGATGCATTTCACCCACCAATCTAGCATGAAGCCCAGTGGTGGGCAAAATGCATCAGGTAAGGTGGTCACAGGCGGGAGATTCTGGACATTTGCCCTGAGACTGAGAAGTGCTAAAAACTATTAAATGAAGAAAAAAAAAAAAAAGGTTGGGCTTTAATAAGGTCTCCAGCAACACAGAAATTTCACAATTCTGGAGCACCTGAGCGGCCCGTTTGGATCCGCTCAGTCCAGCCATAGAGGAGATGGTACCCGACTGGCACTCAGGTGACTGTAAAGGAACACACAGACACAACCAGACAGGTCACCTTCACCACAAATCACCCGGCCTCAGGAAACTTTGCTTTTTATAGACTATACAAAATACACGCGGCGGCATAGACGGGAACCAGACCCGTGAAAATATGTCAGGGGTAATTTGCCTAGGTTTTATATTGCCAGTCTGATGTGCTCAGCTGCGATCTCGCCCTGGCGTGCTAATGGCGGCTTCCTGCAGCCGCGGCGTGTTTGCAGACTCTGCTTAATTATCCTGTTAGCTGCAAAGTGTTGTTTTCGAGATGGAAATAATGAACGTCCCTCAGACAAAACTTTCGGAATATAAAATGATATGAAGGGTGTAGGATGCAAAGCCACCGAGATACGATATAAATCTGCAGATCTCGGCCACAAAGAAGCCATTTATGGCGCATCCAGAACTGGCCACCTGAACCCCATGTGGTCACATCAGTATTCATACTTGGCTGCTCCTCCGTAGCACGTCATTGAGACAACGCAATGCAACACCTTTATTTTCTAGTGCTTCCCTCGGTCTCATTCACACGAGAAAAGGCCGGCACATACCGATCCATGCTGTGTGCACGGCCGTATCGGGCAGCTCCCGGGACGGACAGGTGCTGTGTGTGATTAGTAAAATATCGGTACTCGACACCAAAAAACTGGTATCGGTGCTTCCCTAATTAAATAGAACCCCAGTGTGACTTTGCATCAGCTTCTTGCAGTCTACTGTGCAGCGTGAGGAAGCAAGTGCTGAAAAAGAGCATGCCGATAAGAGGAGAGAACAGAGTGACAGACTAGAGCAGGGATGTCCAAACTGCGGCCCTCCAGCTGCGGTGGAACTACGAGTCCCATGAGGCTTTGCAAGATTCTCACAGCCAGGACTCCCGGAGAGAGATGCTTCGTGGGATTTGTAGTTTCACCACAGCTAGGGCCGGAGACATCCCTGGACTAGAGCCATCACTATGCTGCTTCTCCTTTCACTGTCCAGTCGCAAGCTTGGCCGGGCTCAAAGAAATGGCTTAAAATGATGGTTGCCATCAGACCGGGGACAACTAGTGATGGAAAAGAAGTACTGCAGGGTGGGATACTGGGACAAGCAGCTCTGAATTGAAGGTGAAAAATGATTTGGATTCTGCAAGACTGTGCTCACCCCGGCCCAGCCTCTTTTATGCACCGAACCTCTTTGTAAAAACACCCCTGGCTGCTTCTCACATTTGCAAACAGTTTGCGAAATACAAAAAAACACCCAAACACACACGTGTACACATCACTGAGCAATACAAACATGTCAGTTTCCAGAACATGCACAAGGTAGAGCCAAGAGCGAGCCTTTCCTTCCTGTTCTGTATTAGTCATCCGTCAAGCAGTTTCTTAAATGCACCCACATCGCTCAATCATCATTATGAACGCCTTTCATGTAGGGGAGGAGAAACGCATCCTGCGCACATTGATTGCGGAGATCGGATTTGCATTTCAGGTCAATTTTAACCAAGAAATTGATTTTTAAATTGTCATATATAAAAAAATACTTCCAGCTTTGTAATAGAAGTGCCGAGCACTGCAGGCGTGACTGCTGGCAGCCTGTGTGTGTCTGACTTCTCACACTGTCCCATCTCTGCTAGGGAAAGGAGGCCACGGCCCCTCCTCTGAATCATTCTGCAGTCCATGTAATCTGATCTTTCCCATTTCATACCACAGCAGGGGGACAAGGCCCGTGGAAAGTTGGTGATTGAACATTCCCAACTGTATAAGGGATTCCTTTATTCCAAATCAGTGATGAGATCTCACCGATCTCCACTCAGTCCCTGTTCCTCCTGTTGTCTGTGAAGGTTCTCATTCATCCAGGTCACTGTATATTTGTAAAACAAGGCAACTGGAATTGCGGTATTTTTTCTTGAAGACGTTTCACTGGTCATCCGACTAGCTTTCTCCCTTCAGAATGAATAGAGAAAGCTAGTTGGATGACCGACGAAGGGTCAAGAAAAAAAAATACAGCAAGTCCAGTTGCCTTGATTTATTTTTTGCAGACATTGCTCCTGTTACTTCCGGCATCATTTGGGAAGTGTTGGCAGGAAGCCAGGCCGTGTAATGACACGGCGCCCGACTTTGATTGGCCGGATAGCCAATGACAAAGGAGCATGTAGCCGGCTTCCCGGCCAATCAGGAAGCCTGGCGTCGCGTCATTACATGGCACCCAGCTTCCCGTTTGGCCAGAAAGCCGGCTCCGTGCTTCTCGTCACCTAGTGACGAGAAGCATAGAGACAGCGTCCCTGCTAAGCGGGAAGCCAGGTGGTATCGGTGCATCCCTACCACGTACCTTAGCAAGACTCTCTCCCTAGTGATCTTGCGCTGGACAGGAAGTTCAGGGAAGCCGAGCTTTAATACTACAAGCACTGAATCACCTTCCCACCCCCAGCCTGTGACTGGATAATAAAGGGGCAGTTGCTCGCTCTGCTTTCTCTATGCATATTCTTTTTACTACATGTGCACTGTGCAGCATGCCTGACTCCATCTCCTAGTCTCGCTTCTGCTGTATTGCTGCAATACTTGGTTTTCGTTTATGCCTGTGCAGAGCTCGGCTTTAAAGAGAACCTGTCAGTCACTTTAAAAAAAAAAAAAAGTCATAAAGCAAGTCCCCCGTTATACGTTTTCAGCAGCTGACATTTCCAGGAGTGTCACATGTCAAGAGTTGCAGCAACGCTCGAGTACCCAACATTACCTGTGGTTCCATCTTATGACCCCCTACGTCACTGCCATGTCCTGTAGTGATGTTGGGGTAAGAGGAAGAGACAATGTCACACAGCATGGGACGCATGCTTCCAACACGGCTGAGGTGTCGAAAGCTTAAAAAAATATATATATATATATATTACACACACACACACACATATATATAGATTATAATATTATAGATATAAAATATATAATTTTAAAAATACAATTGGAAAAATGTTGCAGCATTGGAACAGAAAAAGAAACCTTGCTGGTAGCCGAGTACAAAGTTGCATTATTCTCGCATGGCTCTGTACAGAGCACTACATTCTCTGCCTGCATGCGTTGAGCAGATGGAGGATCGCCATGTGGCTGGAAGTAGTAAGCAGATCCTGCTCTCTAATCCCTGAGGCCTGTCTGCTCAGGGCCTGCAGTCTGTATGAACCCATCCCCTGGCCGCATGGTTTACCTCTAGGCCTCCCACCAGCACAAAGCAGAGAGCCCTCCTCGACTAATCCACAGGCCGCAGTTTATTCGTTCCCGTCCACGTCTCCTCTGTGGTGTCTGTGGATTTGCTGCCGCTTTGTTTCTTTTTGCCGAATGACTTTGTAGTACCAGAACCCGAGCGTTTCTGGTATGAGCTGTTTGGATTTAGTCAATGAGCCATTCACTCTTTTCCTGTTATCTTCATTTCTATTGTTTGATTTATTTTTGTACATTTTATTTTTTTCCTTTTAGCAGTGTGCGGCCTATTCTTAAAGGGAACCTGCACCTGAACGGCAACGTAAAAGCTTTGTCATCAGTGTTGCTGGTGTGGATAACCGAAGAGTAATTGAAGGGCCGTCATACTAACCGTTCATGTAAAAAAAATAAAACGTCTCCAGGATACCCCTTAAAGCCCCGTTCACATGTAGCGACTTATCGCGCATTTTTGCCTCGCGATATC